AAACTGACTTAAAGGCAGTTGGCACGATAAATCCCTAAAGACGAGTAGGATTAATACGACTGGCATGGCAGAATTCCGTGACCCTGAACAGGCGCTGCGTAGCGCCTTTTCCAAGGAGGGTACCCTTATAGCGCCCTATTGAGCAGCAACATACCGACCCGGACGCCCACCTCGCCCGCCCGCCTACCATTGGACGTATAGCATCACAGCACGAGGACGTGCCGTTGTGGACCGCCCGTGCCTACGTGTAATGTAGTGTAACGTAGAGCGACGTAGAACGTACTGCTGGCTTTTTGCCAGCAAAAATTCAATCGGTAGACTCGTCCAAAGCAGCGCCCGTCCCAGCCGTTCGCTCGTCCACTGCAGCGAAGAAATAGAGCCCCACTTCGTGGTTTCCTCACCATTTCGCCCCCTTTTTTCATTTCTAGGCACATTGGCTCTTTTCAAAAGTGTACATGAAATTATCGTGCCAACTGCCTTTGAACTGTATTGCACTTCAATCAACAATGGTTTTGCATGGATCTCCCTATAGGAGAACCATGATTTGAGCACATGTGATGTCCCTAATATCACAAACATTCCGGAACGGCAAGACTGTTACCGAATTTGGGTGGTTCTGCTTTCACGACAATACCATTTGTCACTGTCGCACTGCTCGCCGTTGCCACTGCTTTCCTGTAAATAGTTCAGATAATGAAGAAGCTTCCTGGCGAGAACTGTCCATCCGAAGACGGTCCTTCCCATGTGCGAGGTGAGTTGATCCGCAGCTGCAGTAACATGTCATTTTCTCCGCTCAAAAGTGCACGGGAGCAGGGTTGCTGAACAGTGGTAAATAGATGCCGTTTCCATACACTATCCTCAAGGCGCAGCGCTTGCACTGATACCGAGTCTCCAGCGAAACGCCTATTCGGCGGTGGACAGCAATCAGAAGTGAGAGAGCGCGGACAAGTCGTACGCACTGCTGGTTAGACAGAGTTCAGACTTCGCGACGGCAGCACTTCGGTGGCGCGTTCGACGCGATCGATGCAGTCGAAACTAACGCGAAGTCTGAACGCGGCCTTAGGCGCGTGGCTGGTCGTGCGGCAGCGCAGGCGGAATGTACAGGGAGGCCAAAAAAAAGACTTTTTTCCTTGACTTTCGAGGCGCTATAAGTTACACTTTATTAAATTCTTATCGGACATTTCTACCACCATATTGAAGAGCATATTAAATACTATCATGATACTCCGCCACAGCCTTCTGGAGGAGCGCCATCGAGAGATTCTGCCACGCGACCGTGAGTGGTGCCTGAGTTCGACTCGCCCGAACCAGGTAATTGAGGGGGTTTAGGTCAGGTTACCTGCTTAGATATTCCACCTTCTTCAGGTACTCAACGCCCTTCCATTCCAAGTAGGCAAGAGTTTTCCCAACGCCCTTTGATTCCATGTGGTGTCACCCAATCCTGTAGCAGTACAAAGTTTCCAAGAAGGTACGGGCGACGACATGTGGGGAGGATATTCTTCTCGAGTTGCTCGATGTAACCGCCAGCGCTCACCTTCAGTCCGGGGCCCACGAAGAAAATATCGGTCTCTCCATTCCAGGTACGTCCGGTCCCCACCATCAACTGGCGCCTTGGCGACTGAGGTGAAGATGATGTCCTGGACCGTAGCGACGTTGTCGGAGCTGCTCGATGGGAGGTCTTCCAGATCGAGAGTACTGGTCTCCAGGTAGCTATCCATGGGTGACTCCATACTAGAAGTTTCGCAGCTGTTTGGAGGTGACATGAATTCCAAAGGTCTTCTCCAGTCAGGCTGCGACTGGAGATGACTTCATATTTTGGTGTACATGAAGGTGATGGGCGAGAGCCAGCTCCTGCTTATAGAGGAACATCTTGGGTATCTTCCGCCCTGGTACTCGTATCCACGTCCTCTGTCTGGGCTGCGAAAACTTTGCTGATATGTGACTCGGTCGAAATGTCTTTTTTTTGCCCCCCCCCCCTGTAGAGACGGCTTTCGGGCGTCTCCTCCGGTGCGTATTCGAGCGGAGTAATTGGCACGCGACTGCAACTACAGCCCATTCGCACATGGCAAGGACCAGGATCCACAGATGTGAGTGTACAGTTTGTCTTTCTTAATTCGCTTGCTGGAAAGAGAAGTCATTTTGACAGAAAAGCTAACCTTCCTACTGTTCACAACAATCGCTGCCGCGGTAAGCTTCCTTTCAGGTACCACTGCTCCTCGCACGTAAATGTTCGCCAGTGCGTCTCGTAACTGCAAGTAACTTCATAGTTATCGAAATTTCATGTGATTGGCTCTAAACAAAGACAAATGACAAAGCTTCCGTCGTTGATCAATCCCTCTTAGTGCGCGGCACGCATTCTATTCACATTCAAGCTTTCTGAAGGCAACATCGATAAAGTTGCTTTCGCTGCGGATGCTAAGCCGCTTCACTAAGGGTGGGTTTGGCACGACGCAAGACTGTTCTCTACTAATTGTTGAAGAAGGCAAGCAACAACAGTTGGTGAAAATGTGCTAGCGCCACGCCAAACCCACTCGATCCCCTGACACGCCCCATCATTCTCACTAAAAAGACTGTACAAGAGCTGGGAGAGTCAGGTGGTACTCAGACAAGTTTGTTCTCAGTTTACAATCCCTGAAGCAAAAAAGACTTCGATTCGCGAAAGCCGAGATTGATTTCACTATCCGTGGTTGATACTTGTGACCGCTGGCGTGGTTAGCGGCGCAACTTATCAAATCGCCTCTGCCCAGCTATAAAACATGCACTGCACAGCCCCGATTGTGTGGTCTGCCCGACTAGGCAAAGAGGGTGATTGTACTATGTCAGGGTGGTCTACAAAATCACCTGTCGCAGCTGTGGGGACCAGTACATCGGCGAGACGGCTCGTCCGCTTTGCGTGAGGGTGAAAGAGCATCTGGATGGCATGAACAGGTCACGAGTGTCTACTGCCTTGGGGCCCATAGGGTTCAAATCCACAACGGAGAAGATTTTGGAGTCACGGTTGAGGTCTTGGCGCGAGAGGCACAAACCTCCGCGCGGAAAACCCTCGAGGCATTCTGGATCCAGGTCATCGATCCAAAAATGAACCGGAGGGAAGAGTGCCTCTCTATCACGCGGGAACTGAGACCCTATATAAGGTTGGCCTTCCACGATGAATGCAGAGCAGTCCGATTCGGTTCAGCTGCCAGCTTCCTATTGGTCTCGGGGATCGGACTGGATTACGGTAAGTGCTCTTCCCCGTGATTGGGTGATGACCTGTCTAGGGTCGAACTTCAGTAGGCTGCAGAGACATTTGATCGGATAGTCGCAAATCGTTTCGGTCCTTTCAGGCTCTGATGAAGGCGGTCTCGCCGAAACGTGCGTAAGCCGAATAAAGTGGTATATCAACCTCGCGAAGAGTTCCCACAGAGGGTATTCCACAGCACTACAACTATGCCGAGGTTTATTGAGAGCCGTACTTGGCGACACTCTAGTTCGCTGCGGACGGTTGGGCGTGTCAGGCAGTATGAGTGTGTCACGCCGTCAAAGCCGTTCTCTGCCTTCTTGTTGAAGCGCGCATGCGACAAAAAGTGGTAGAAAACGAGTAATACGAACGATATGATACAGTCATATCACTTGCTCGCTTTAACAACTGGTGGAGAACGGGTTTGGCACCGCGCCAAACTCATCTCGCGTGACGCGCCCAACTGTCCGCAGCGAACTACCTGTATATCATGCAACACCGCCTTTCCAATCGAAATTTAATTTCTCACCTCCTTCAGACCAACAACGCCGACCAGTCGACCACAATCGGTCACATACGCGTGCGAGAGACCGAGAAGACTGAATAAGGTGTGCACCTAGAAAAAAGAGAATCTTTGTATGGTCACTTCTTGTCGTCGAATTATGCCGCATTGATGCATATGTCCAGAAAAAGGATATAAAATAGTTGTCCGAGGATCAGCTTTTTTATTGGTGATGTCGAGACAGAAGTCTTCTGTCGAACATTTGTCATTCATTATTTTTCTCACCAAAATGATTAGAAGACTCGTTGCAAACGCGTCTCCTTGAGAAAGCGAAGTAGCGAAGACGGACTCCTCTTCGTGGAATATTTCCTAGGTAATGAACAGAGGGCCATTACAAACCTTATACAGAGATGATCCAAGCACGAGTTGAAATGGTGCGGCATCAATAGCGATTTCATCGAGATCAATGGTACGATCCAGAAGTGCTTCAGGGTCTCGATCCTGAACCTCAAAACCACTCCTCACAAGTTGAAGGTTATGTAGTACATATTATTTCAAAACTGACCTTGAGAAGATCAGCTGAGGAAGGCCTTGTGAAGACAGCTTGTAGCGGAACACCTGAAAGGAACAAATTTTAACAAAAGAGCGAAGAGTATGAGGACAAAAGCTAATCAAATAATATGCTTGCGCAGTCAAGGATATCTTTAGGAACAGATGAGGGAAGCCAAGAAACAGCAGTCTTCTTGTTGTCATTCTACATCTGTCAACTGGCCTCTCAACAATAATCCGATAACTACTGGTTTTTAATGATTTTATGGAGGTGCATCAGATACTTGCTTTAAACTAAGACGAAT